ACCAAAGAAAAGGACAAAACTTATAGTCTTTGGTGGCTGCCAAATTCCTTTTTAACTTGAAGACTCCAAACCAAGCCTTGGATAAGAGTCATACACGGGTAAGCCACCAAAAAATTAGCAAATTGATGAGTCCCACAAAGGAGGGAAAACCAACAATTCTCCCCCTCCCGACTTATGTGGAGGATTCGACCATTCCCGCCAAAAGTCGACACTTCTCATGCTTGTCCTTAGTCAATGCCTTAGTTAACATATCCGAAGTGTTATCATCAGTGTGAATTTTTTCAAGTTGTAACAACTTATCATTCAAGACATCACGAATCCAATGATATCTAACATCAATATGTTTCGATCTCGAATGAAATGAAGAATTCTTGCTCAAGTGGATTGCACTCTGACTATCACAATGAAGGACATACCTTTCTTGTTTCAAACCCAACTCTTGTAAGAATTCCTTCAACCACAATAATTCTTTGCAAGCTTCAGTGATGGCGATGAACTCAGCTTCTGTGGTGGAGAGAGCAACACATTTCTGTAATCTTGATTGCCATGCCACTGCTCCCCCTGCAAAAGTAATCAAATAACCAGAAGTAGATTTTCGACTATCAACATCACCAGCCATATCAGAATCTGTGAACCCATCAAGAATAGGCTCGCCTTTACCAAAACACAAACTCATCTTTGAAGTGCCCTGAAGATACCTCATAATCCATTTCACTGCTGCCCAGTGTTCTTTCCCTGGATTAGACAAAAATCGACTGACAACCCCAACTGCGTGAGCAATATCCGGTCGTACAAACCATGGCGTACATCAAAGAACCAACTGCTGAAGCATAGGGAATTTTCTGCATCTCATTTTCTTTTCATCACTTGTAGGACACTGACTTGAGCTTAGTTTGAAGTGGCCTGCAAGTGGACAATTAACAGGCTTTGCTTTGTCCATATTGAACCTCTCAAGAACCTTTTTAATATAATTCTCTTGAGATAACCAAATCAGCCCATGTGATCTGTCACGAACAATTCTCATCCCAAGAATTTGCTTTGCTGGACCCAAATCCTTCATGGCAAAGGACTTACTCAACTCTGACTTCAACTTGCTAATCTTACTCGTGTCTTGGCCCACAATAAGCATATCATCAACGTAAAGCAAGAGAATAATAAAATTACCATCTTTATATTTCTTCACAAACACACAATGGTCTGAAGTGGTTCTTGAATACCCATTCTCACTCATGAAAGCATCGAATTTTCTGTACCACTGCCTCGGTGCTTGCTTCAATCCATACAAGCTCTTCTTCAATTTGCAAACTAACTGATCATTACCCTTATCTTTGAAGCCCTCAGGTTGCTCCATATAAATTTCCTCTTCTAAGTCACCATGCAAAAATGCGGTCTTCACATCAAGCTGCTCAACTTCTAAATTCATACTCGCAGCTATACCAAGCACAGTTCGAATGGAGGACATCTTCACAACTGGTGAGAAGATCTCATCAAAATCAACTCCCTTTCTCTGATCAAAACCTTTCACGACAAGTCGTGCCTTGAATCTCGGTTGAGAACTGTTCCCATCATTCTTTCGTCTGAAGACCCATTTATTTTTCAAAATTTTCTTCCCTTTAGGCGGCTTCACCAAATCATAGGTGTGATTCTCATGCAAAGACTTCATTTCCTCTTTCATTGCCTTGAACCATTCAGTTTTGTTCTCATGCTTCAAGACTTCTTGATAAGTCCCTGGCTCCCCCTGATCTGATATCATCACATACTCATTTGAAGAATATTTTCTGGATGGCTGTTTTTCTCTAGTAGATCTCCTTAACGGTGTCTGTGGTAGTGGCTCTTGGGGTGGTTGCTCCCCCTCAATCTCTGGCTCAACATCATCTTCTGCTGCATCATCATGAGGTGTTTGCACTTCCTCATCAATATCATGAACAGCAGAGGGATTGAGAGGATCTAAATCAACAAGATCATCAGTACTAGACTCAGCTGACTCAAGCTTGTCGATGTCTTCAATAGTCTGATCTTCCAAGAAAACAACATCTCGGCTTCTGACAACTTTCTTGTCAACTGTATCATACAACCTGTATCCAAATTCTTCATGCCCATAGCCAAGAAATATGCATTGCTTTGCTTTTGGATCAAGCTTGGACCTTTCATCTTTTGGAATATGAACAAAAGCTCTGCAGCCGAATACCCTCAAGTGATCATAGGAGACTTCCTTCCCTGTCCAAACTTTCTCTGGCACATCACCATTCAACGGAACTGAAGGAGACAAATTGATAAGATCAACTGCGGTCCTCATTGCCTCACCCCAAAAGGATCTTGGCAATTTAGAATGTGAGAGCAAACATCTGACTCTCTCAAGAATGGTGCGATTCATTCTCTCTGCAACCCCGTTCTGTTGAGGTGTCTTTTTAACTGTCTTTTCATGCCTGATACCATGATTTGTGCAATACTGATCAAATGGTCCAATATATTCACCACCATTATCCGAGCGAACACATTTCAACTGTCTACCTGTTTCTCTTTCAACCTTGGCCTGAAAAATCTTAAACACATCTAGAACTTGATCTTTAGTTTTCAGTGTATAAGCCCAAACTTTTCTAGAGTGATCATCAATAAAAGTGACAAAGTATAGAGCACCACCAAGTGTCCTAACTTTCAAAGGACCACATACATCAGAATGTACCAAATCTAAAACATGAGATTTTCTAGATGCAATGTTTCTACGGAATGATATTCTGTTTTGTTTACCATGGAAACAATGAACACAAGTTTTCAAAGGCGTACCTTTTATCCCCACTAGAAGCTCTTTCTTGGACAAAACTTGCAATCCTTTTTCACTCATATGTCCAAGCCTTCTATGCCATAAATCAGTGGATGAGTCATTCTCTAAGGTATTCACAACACCCTTGCAGATTTTTGCTTGCATAGTGTAAAGAGAACAAGTCTTCTTTCCTTTTGCTACCACTAGAGAACCTTTGGAGAGCTTCCATTTTCCATTACTGAAATTGTTGATGTAGCCTTCATCATCTAACTTTCCAGCAGAGATTAAATTGAGTCGAATATCTGGTACATGCCTCACATCTCTAAGCAGCAATTTGCATCCAATATTTGTTTCCAAGCAAATGTCACCCATGCCGACAATTTTTGACACATCTTCATTTCCCATACGGACATTCCCAAAATCACCTTGTGAGTAAGAAGTAAAGAAATCAGCCCGCGAAGTAACATGAAATGAAGCTCCAGAATCAATTACCCAATCCGTCTCTTGGCCAATCAAATTAACGCTAGCATCATCACGGATAATCATGAGTTCATCATCGGTAACTACAGCTGTATCAATTTATTTTTTCTCTGAATTTTTCTCTTTGTTCTGCTCCTTGAACTTGAGTTTTCTACATTCCCGCTTCATGTGCCCTTTCTTGTGACAATAATAGCATTCAACATCCTTTTTTGACATCGAGCTTGAACGACCTCTAGATTTATCACGGTTGTGCGGAACCCTACTCTTACTCCTGCCTCTCCCCCGGTTTTCCATTACAAGTGCCTCGGAGTAAGAAGAACCTGATGATTTTCTTCTTGTTTCTTCATTCAACAAACTGCTGGTAACTTGACTCATTGTTACCACTCCATCAGGTGCGGAGTTACTAACTGTGACCACCAAAGTTTCCCAGCTTTCGGGAAGTGAACTAAGAAGTAACAAAGCTTGCAACTCATCATCAAAAGTAATTTTCATGGCGGCCAACTGATTCACAATGCTCTTAATCTCATTCAAATGCTCTGCAATAGAAGTACCCTCCTTATATTTAGAGTTCACAAGCTTTCGAAATAAAAAGGCTTTATTCACTGCCGTCTTTCTATCATACAAACTCTCCAATTTGGTCCAAAGACCATGTGCAGATTTTTCTGTAGAGACATGATGAAAGACACTATCATCAATCCATTGCCGAATAAAACCGACAGCTTTCCGGTCTAGCTTTTTCCACTCGTCATCTTTCATCCCTTCCGGTTTGCCACTATCACCCTCTATGGGTCCATTCAAATCTTTACAAAATAAAAGATCTTCCATTTTAGTTTTCCAAGTCACCCAATTTGTGCCATTGAAACTAACCATACGTCCAACGTTGCCGTCCATAATTCACACACAGAAATATAACGAATCGGAACCGAATTAACCAATTGCTCTGATACCAGATGTTGGAAAAATAGGCTTTCCCACAAGTGTAAATCAATGGAAGCAATATAAATAAAATAACAGAAAATAAATAAGTACACAAGATTTACGTAGTTCCCTCAAATAACTTGAGGTACATCCACGACGACCGGTAGGTCAGTTTCTTCCACTATCACCAAATCAGATTACAAAGTGGCCAAAAGGCATAAGCCTTACAAACACACCAAGGTGTAAATCACAAGAGGAAAATACCTCACAAAATAAGTGAATCAAATCTCCAAGAACAAACCGCAAGAAACCCAAATATCAAGTGAAGAAATGTTACCCACTTGAAGAACAAATTTGCAGATTTTTCTGGCACCAAAAAAGGAGAAGAAGAAGGCTGAATTTTTGTTGAACCAAAGACTGCCGAAAATATGTCTTCTTGCCAAACCAACAGAGAAGAGATGAACCAAAGAAAAGGACAAAACTTATAGTCTTTGGTGGCTGCCAAATTCCTTTTTAACTTGAAGACTCCAAACCAAGCCTTGGATATGCCAAGAGTCATACACGGGTAAGCCACCAAAAAATTAGCAAATTGATGAGTCCCACAAAGGAGGGAAACCCAACAAGCATTACGTGTTACCTTGGAGGTAAAAGAATTGTCTCATACTACTACACCACCGCCCTTGAAAATTGAAATCCCAAGGAACACTCAGTCGCCAAAGGTGAGAGGTAATAAATGTTTGGCGTCAATAAGGATGCCGAATTTTTTAATGTCATTAATGCAAAATCAGACGCTCATGCATGTAGAATGTCGAGTATCGGGGCGAAGCAGGCACTCTGATCAATGCATGTCCACCTGATGAGACCAAGGGAAGATCCCTGTTGTCTTTGGTATGGACCAATCAGAAGCCTTTCCGTGATTGGGACCAACTGGATAACCTCACATGACTCAACCATTCTCCTAGAAGGTACAAATAGGAGCTCAAGTCAAGAAACAATGGTACACAACCTGAAACCAGCATTAGCCTTGTGTATATTTTCCTTCTCAAAAATTGACTTAAGCATCAAAGAAAAAAAGTCGGAGACACCTCCGACATCCCTTCTAACCTTTCTTTATGAGTGCCAGGTTTCGTCCGAGTTTGAATCAGAAGTGCCGCTATCTCACTATTGTGAGAGATATCTCCTGTACATATTGAAATCTGGTTTCGCATTAAAAGACTATCAGGGCACTACCCTCTTGGTGCTCACCTCATCACTTAAGAGAATGAGTAGAAATTTAACCTGAGACTACTGCTCGCCCAGTGCTCGAGTAGTCGTGCAGAGTTAGGTCAAATTGGTTCAGTATAGTTGCCATAACTTGCTTAACACTTTCTATAGATTTTAGTTTCATAATTGGATTCAAATTCACTTCCTTTACACATAGGAAAAGCTAAATGCAAGACATAAGGTTTTTTGGACTTGCTAAAAAGTTCTAAAACCTAGAGAAAGCTACTCTATCCTTCAAAAAAATTGAAGCAATTACTTGGTAAAATTTAGCATTTTTCATAGATTATTCAAATACCTAGGTTTGTTTTCATTGAGTGAACCACTAATAGAACCAAAACACAAACTGTTAGAGGTTTGCTTAGAAAAGAAGGATTCCTTGGAAAAAGCTTGAGAAAGGGATTCATTAAAAAGGGGTGGATTGATTATGGAATTCGTTAAATAGGTGCTTCGTCGAAATTTGACATCATTTGCGTATAGTACTAAAATTGATCGTTTTACCTACCGATGTAATTTTTGAATAAAATAAAATTATTTCTATATTTAAATAGATTTTAGGAATATATTTTTGAATCGCCACAAAAAAATTAAACTGTTTGATTTTTGACAGCTCTTTAGGCGCCTGGGTCAAGTTTGTGGTAGGTTATCCAATTCTGCAATAGGCTTAGATTTTCAACTCAAATATATATTCAATGATATCTTATAAAGTATTTACATGTTCTTGACTAACATGATTGGATGTTAATATGGTTGATTGAATTTGAATATGTGGGCACTCTCCGGAGTGATGAATTATTGAATTGTTGAGAGTTTGAGCTATACTTTGCAAAACTGATTACCCGAATATTTTGTAAAAGAGTTTCTTTGATTGATCTTGATGATTGGGACCCTTGTGTGGTCACATAGGTTTTGTTCTACTGGTGTGACATAACTATGAGTACCTGGTCGATACTGTTTGATTTTCAATATTGATTTCTTTAAGATATTTATGTTTAAATCTCAGTCGCTGTGAAATGTTACAATATTTTTAAACCATGTTTATCGTAGACTCTGGTTAATCTATTGATCATGGGGTCGCTCATCCTATAAAATTTATTCTATTTTTCATTGGGATGGTGCAATATGTGGAAAGCACAAGTTACGAGGGGTCGAGCTCGAGCTGAGCGTATTCTCATTGCTTAGATTTACTAGACACTACACTGTTCCAATTGTAACGATGTAACATTTTATGAAACCTCTAAGTGAGGTTAACTTGTAAATGCTTTTCTTATGCTTTGTTATGGAATATAATCCCTAAGTAGATAACTTTTGGTTAATGTAATAAAGTCACTGACTAAAAATTGACAAGTTTGTACTTGAAAACATCAATACCGTGCTCGTGAGACGCAAGGCCTTATAAGTGACATGCTCGGGGGATCCGGGGTATTACATAGTGCATCTAGTCAAAGGTACTTAATTGAAAACAAATTGAAGCAAATGGTGCATCTAGCCAAAGGTACTTAATTGAGTTATAAATCTTTTGCATGTCTTGTAAACAAATTGAAGTTTTAGTAAATTAGTTGGTTGGACAAGGCCCATAGTTTTTTTTTTTTGTTTGGGTTTTCCTGTTGGAAAAATTGGTTTTTAAACATGTTATTTGGAGCAACTTTGGACTTAAATAAAAGTAGGACCCATGCATCAAAAGTGGTGGAACCATGTTTAAACGTGTTCTCCTCCGCGAGGAGATTAACGTGCTATATTACTTATTCAAAACCATTAAGTATTGAATGACAAATTGTCTCAAAGTGACCCACTTAAATGGATGGAAGAAACTAAGAATGATGTAGTGTAGTGTAGAAAACTTATTCTACATTGGAAAGAAACCAAAAATTTAGTGAGTTAATATACTCCTAGTAGGCTTCTATGGGTTGGGCTCCAAGGGATATCATAATTTTGTGAGTGGAGCGAGCACCTACACAACTTTGGTTTCCACCTGCCCGCCTCACCTCGCAACGACCCGGTCAGGCTTGGGCCTTTGTTCAACAAGATCTTATCTTTTTGTTGAAAGTTCATTTGGCACAATGTGAGTAATAGGTCAAATCAAAAGGGTCCAGAATCGGATCATTATTATTCTTCCAACCAAAATACAAATCTATGTCCTTTATTTTTGAATTTGGCGCTTGTTCTCGAGAAGTATCCATTCACACTCCAAAGATGTTTTTTCCTTTCGTTACTGTTCTTTTAAAAATGCAACTCTTCAATATGAACATACACAATGAACAGTGGTATCTCGTGCCTCTTCAGGTAATCCGAACAGACACAAGAAAGTCTATAAAAGGACATAATTGAAGTCATTTTCAGATATAGAAAGATATTGGATATACAGGAAATTCCTGCATACTGTTGCATTCGTTCTCTCTCTTTCTGTATTACATATCTGTTCAGTCCAAGTGCAAAACACAAGTTGTGTTCATTGGTTTTTGGAGATTGAAGTACTGTTTTTTCAAAGGCGAAATGCAGTCTATCTTGAGAAACAGTTGTTTATTAACCTTGAACACTGAGAGGGAGCAAATCTATCTTAAGAAAACTATGTTTCATTGGGCTCAGATTACTTTTTATTCATGATATTTTCTTATTGTTGTTTTATAATCAAGTAAATACATCATTTCTGTTTTTGTTTATACATTTTGTTTTATATAACTGTTTTGAATATAACAATATACATAGTGATTAAAGTTTACTTCAGTGATTATTTTCTAATTCTGATTATATACTGGATAACAATCTTAAGACAGATTGTCTGAAATTCAATTTTTTTATAGAGTTAGATTAATTACTTCTCTATCTAAATTAGTATTTTGTATTATGTTGTATTACTGCATTATTTTATTAAAACTAGAATGTTATTTGGTTATTATTATATAACAGAAATGGCTAAAAGTAATTTTGTTCCTACTACAAAAATGGTTATTATTATTTCATTTCAAAATCTTTTAACTTCATTTCGTGCTTCAAGATGTTATTTTGGTATTGAATTTTAGCTAAGTTTTGTCTCTCATTTTTATGAAATTTCTAATTTGTGGTCTTTCTAGGGTGTTTTCGTCCTAATTTGTGGTCCTTCTAGGGTGTTGTTCTATTTAAAAGTGTTAATCGAGCTGAACCTACAGAGCTTTGGTTTGCTCAGGCTCGGCTTGAGTCTTTGGAGGGGTGTCCAAGTTTGGCGCAGGTGTTAACATAGTTATTAGTATCGTACGATAGGTGATACGTCACGATACACCTGAAAAACGATATAAATCATATCTCTGTATCGTTTTTACACCGTATTGTACAATACACGATACAATACGATACACACCGATACGTATGATAAGTGACAATTCTGTTTTTTTTATTTTTTATTTTTTATTTTTTGGGGTTAAAATGATATCGTTTTACTCTAAAACTTATTTTAAAATCACTATATAGTGAAACGACATCATTTTAGTGGTTATAATTTTAAAAAAATAAATAAAGTCTAATATTAATGTTGTTCAGTTAAATTCAAAATTCCTGATTAATATTAAAGTTGTTCAAGCAGTTGATGTTAAAGTTTGAATTAGAAGTCTTTGCATTTTGATATTACTGAACTATGTTGAAAATTTGAATAGTTGATAAAATATTAATGAAATACTATGTTATTATGAGTCTATGACTTTTTTATAAAGGTATATACATATGTTTTATTAATAATTATTTAAAAATTAAAATTACGCTTATCTTATGATACACGATACACAATACGATACAATATACTATTTTTAAAAAATAATACGCCTTCCGATACACATTTTGACAACTATGGGTGAGAATATCAAGCCTAAATTATTGCTCAAGCTCGGCTTGGTACAAGCTTGAACCGAGCCCGAGCAAAAAACGAGCTCTTGTATAAATATCTAATTCACAAAATCTAAGGGGCCGTTTGGTTAATGTTTTTGTCTTGTGTTTTGTATTTTTTATTTTCAATTTTTGTTAAAAATGAAAAAAAAAAACATGTTTTGATATTGTTTTATATTAATTGTTTTGGAGACAGAGACAAAAAATGAGAACAAAAAATTTTTGTTCCAGGAAACATGAGAAAAACAAAACACTCGGGGTTGAAATGAGGTCTCGACATCGAGTCCTGTTAGTCACAAAATACCACTTCATATAAGATAGTATAAATATGTGGTCTGTTTGGTCCTCACACAACACATACAAATCAGCCCTTCTCTTCTCTTCACTCAGCTACTCTCTTCTCTTCTCTTCGCTCAGCCCCTCTCTTCTATTCTCTGTCTCAACGAGCTCTCCCAGCTACTCTCTTCTCTTCTATGTCTCAAGCCCTCTCTTTACTTCTCTGTCTCAGCTTACCTCAAGAAGATGTCTCAGCTTACCTCAAGAAGAAGGGACTTTCACTCAGATCAACGAAGAAGGAGCTTCCTTTCGCTGTGAAGGTAAGTGTAATCCCATTATTTTTATGGATATATGTATATGTATACATAAATCTATATATATATGCATAGATCTACATAGATCTGTACATCACAGACCCTAATCGAATTTTTTTTTATCTATATTTTTTTCACCACAATATGCATAAATCTGTATATTTGTACGTAGATTTCATTATTGATTATGAGTTTTTGCCTATCAATGAACATCTTGTGTTGGGGGTAGCTAGTTTTCTGATTTTTTGTTTAGAAGGTTTGGGATGTTATTCTCTTTGTAGAAGGAAAAAAGAAAAAGGTTGTGGTAAGTCAAAAGAAAACTGGTTTCAGGTCTATGGAGATTATTGTAAAGGGTGGCTGTATCTTACAACATACTTGATCATTACTATTATGGATATTTATCATAAATTCATGATTATTTGAGTAATTTCTGCAACAGATGTTTCATGGCCTAAATCAGTCAACATATTGTATTCTCTGAGTTGGCATGTGCCATTGATGGTTCTTTCTGTCCTGAAATTGGATCGCCCTGATGGTCATTCATTTTCTGAATAATGTTGCTGATAAAACAGTTTGGTTT